AGCTGCCCAGGCCTCATCCTCATGGTCCCTTCCCCCACATCCTTGACAGGAAGGAAGCTGGAGACAGAGAGATGAATCACCCTCACCTTAGGGGGAGGTGTCCCTTGGGCCAATGAGGTCACTACTTGCTAATTAGAGGGCAGCCCCTCTCTGTAGGGCCCTCCATATCTCTAGGGCAAGGCTCAGGGCCCCTTGACTAGACTCCCCACCCAGCTGCCAAAGACAGCTTGGGTTGGAGGTTTAGAGAACCGAAGCTCTGGCTCCCAGACCCCACCCCACCTCTCCTGTCTTCAGACTCTACTGCCTTCAGGAACCCAGAAATCCAGGCTTCTAGCCTACAACTCTGGCCTTACTGAAGTTCCACACCCTTCCCTTTCTAGGATTCAGATCCTCCCAAGTTCTCCAGGACCTCCTCCCTTTACTTACCTCCCACCTGTCCTCAGTCTCTGGGGAACCAGAAGCCTGCCTTTGCAAAAAAATTTCCCATTGATCTGCCTTAGGTTTGACCCAGGCCCAAGGGCGAAGAGCCCATAGTGAGGGGACAGTGTATGTGTCATGACTAGGCAGAAAACAGCTGGTCTGGGAGTGGGAATGCAGAGACTGGCCTAGGGATTGGTGGGGTGCACCAGGCATAACCTTGGGTTGGAGTTGCTTTTCAGGCTGGCAGTGATGGGGCCAAGATTGGGAACTGCCCGTTCTCCCAGAGACTGTTCATGGTACTGTGGCTCAAGGGAGTCACCTTCAATGTTACCACTGTTGACACCAAAAGGTAGGCCTGCTTCTGTTCCTTGAAACACCCCTTGTGTACACATGTGTGCAAACACACACTCACGCACGCGAGTCCTTCTGTCGTGAACATTTTTGCCCTCCTCCTGGAGTCCCTTTCTTATCCCACGTCCTCCATTCCCCCTTTCTGGTTCTCCCTGACCCTCATTTCCAGTCCTGATGCCTAATCCTTTCTCCAGGCGGACCGAGACAGTGCAGAAGCTGTGCCCAGGAGGGCAGCTCCCATTCCTGCTGTATGGCACTGAAGTGCACACAGACACCAACAAGATTGAGGAATTTCTGGAGGCAGTGCTGTGCCCTCCCAGGTATAGTGGCACTCAGAAAGTGGAGAGGTGGAGCAGGGAGATTCTAGGAAACAGACAGGTAGCAGAAACGGAAAACAGAGATGGTGGTGGGGCTGGGGCAGGGGAGCTAGCTGAGGTTCCTCCCAGGAAGACATCTTACCTCATTTTTCCCATTGGCTTTCAGGTACCCCAAGCTGGCAGCTCTGAACCCTGAGTCCAACACTGCTGGACTGGACATATTTGCCAAATTTTCTGCCTACATCAAGAATTCAAACCCAGCACTCAATGATAGTGAGTCCTGTGGGTCAGAGGCCTGGGTCCTGGGATGAATAGAGAGGACCCAGCGGGTAGGAGACATTAGGGGCACCTGGAAGTTCCGATATCAGGGAGATGAAGCAGATGTTGGTAAATTTCCCCCAGCTTCCCATTTTTGTTTTACCTCTGTATTTCCCTGCATTTTTATTGGCCAGGACTTTTAAGCCTTTCTCATTTGTTCCCTAGCCTCTTTTGCTCCACTGGGGACATTAGTTGTCTGCTGGCCTGTGTTCTGGCAGAATAGGATTATGCTTAAGAACAATCATCACTTTAGATCCAGATTGCCTGAGTACAAATCCAACTAGCTGTATAGTTTTGAGCAATCATTTCACCTCTAAATCCATTTCCAGATCCACAAAATTAGGATAACAATTTCATATAAATAAGTTTTTTGTTTTGTTTTTTTTTTGGAGACAGAGTCTCACTCTGTCGTCCAGGCTGGAGTGCAGTGGCTCAGTCACCTCACTGCAACCTACACCTGCCGGGTTCAAGCTATTCTCCTACCTCAGCCTCCTGAGTAGCTGGGATTACAGACATGCGTCACCACGCCCAGTTAATTTTTGTATTTTTAGTAGAGACGGGGTTTCACCATGTTGGCCAGGCTGGTCTTGAACTCCTGACCTCAGGTGATCCATCTGCCTCGGCCTCCCAAAGTTCTGGGATTACAGGCGTGAGCAACTGCACCTGGTGATATAAATGAGTTTTTAAAATGTAAAGTGCTCACTTTGGGAGGCCGAGGTGAGCGGATCACCTGAGGTTAGGAATTGGAGACCAGCCTGGCCAACATGACTGGGCTCTACTAAAAAAAAATACAAAAATTAGCCAGGTGTGGTGGCAGGCACCTGTAATCCCAGCTACTCAGGAGGCTGAGGCAGGAGAATCATTTGAATCTGGGAGGCAGAGGCTGCAGTGAGCCGGGATCATGCCACTGCACTCCAGCCTGGGCAACGGATCAAGACTCCATCTAAAATAAAATAATATAAAGTAAAATAAAATGTAAAGTGTTTAGAATAACACATAGAAAAGTAAATGAGTGTTAGCTATTATTATTTTGGACTCACCATTAGTATCTACCCCCAACGGGCCTTTTCAGACTATGTCAATCTTTTCCTGAAGTTCTAATCAATTCCCTCTCTTGCACAGATCTGGAGAAGGGACTCCTGAAAGCCCTGAAGGTTTTAGACAATTACTTAACATCCCCCCTCCCAGAAGAAGTGGATGAAACCAGTGCTGAAGATGAAGGTGTCTCTCAGAGGAAGTTTCTGGATGGCAACGAGCTCACCCTGGCTGACTGCAACCTGTTGCCAAAGTTACACATAGTACAGGTGTGTGGTTATTGCGGGAGGAGAGGATGACCACTGGGATGGCCCTTTAAGGAGCTCCCACGCGGGCTTCCCCTAACAACCACTCTGAAGATGGCTTCTTTCTTATTGTGGTTTTCATAAATTGCTACCAATGGCAGACCCCACCCCAGTCCTTTGCAGCAGTCATTGCTGGCAAGACCACTGCTTGAGATAATTATATTCCATGATATAAGTAGTGGGTGCAAACAGACTACCAAAGAGGAATACATCCCAGTATTACTTTTGAAGAATGCTCTTCCTGTCTCGGTATCACTGCCAAATTCCCAGATTAGATAGAGCAGGCTTTTCCTAAAGTCAAAGCTTTAACTTTCTTTATAGCTTCAGTCTTCACTTCCTCTTGTGGAAGATCAAAACTGCTGGTTCCCATGTTTTTGTCATAGCCTCAAAGCTATGGTTTAGTTTGTGCAACATGGGCCTGACGTCAGTCTGCCACACAACTATGTAGTGAACATCCGTGTACTAAGCATTGAAAGATACACAAACGTATGGTGACTGGGCCTTGCTCTCAAAGGGTTGAAATCTGAGACAATAAAATATTCACATGAAAGTTAAGAATATATGATGAAGTCAGATGGGCTAGGCACAGTGGCTCACGCCTATAATCCCAACACTTTGGGAGGCCAAGGCTGGTGGATCACCTGAGGTTAGGAGTTTGAGACCGGCCTGGCCAACATGGTGAAACCCCACCTCTACTAAAATTAAAAAAATTATCCGCAGTGGGCACCTGTAATCACAGCTATTTGGGAGGCTGAGGCAGGAGAATCACTTAAACCTCAAAGGCGGAGGTTGCAGTGAGCCAAGATCATGCCATTGCACTCCAGCCTGGGTGACAGAGCAAGACTCCATCTCAAAAAAAAAAGTCTGATGAAAAATAAGGACAAAAGTCACTGTGTCAGTGCCTGAAGTGGTATGGGGGAAAAAAGTCACTGTGGAAATTCAAGAGGAGAATTTTATGATATGTAAATTGTATCTCAGGTTTTAAAAACTCAGGAAAAATGGCTGGTTATTAAAAGCCAGGATTTCAGTAAGTGAAAAGGAGGGCTAACGACGGTACAAGACAGTAAGGAGTTGAGCTGGTTTTATCATGTCAGCCTGGGGAGAAGGGAAAGGCCAGCGTAGCAGCCAAGGTGGCTTCCCTGGGGCTAACATGTTGGTCCCTCTCCTCTCCCCATCCTCAGGTGGTGTGTAAGAAGTACCGGGGATTCACCATCCCCGAGGTCTTCCGGGGAGTGCATCGGTACTTGAGCAATGCCTACGCGCGGGAAGAATTCGCTTCCACCTGTCCAGATGATGAGGAGATCGAGCTCGCCTATGAGCAAGTGGCCAAGGCCCTCAAATAAGCCCCTCCTGGGACTCCCTCAACCTCCTCCATTTTCTTCACAAAGGCCCTGGTGGTTTCCACATTGCTACCCAATGGACACACTCCAAAATGGCCAGTGGTCAGGGAATCCTGGATCACTTGTTCCGGGATGGTGTGGTGGAAGAGGGGATGAGGGAAAGAAATGGGGGGCCTGAGTGAGATTTTTATTGTGGGGTGGGATGGGTAGAACAACATATTTCAGTAATAAAATACAGAATAAAAATCAAGTGTTTTTACGCAATGGGGGTTTGAAGTGTGGGTGATATGGAATGAGGGGTGGGTCAGTGATCTTGAGCTCAGGGCAGAAGCCAGGAATTGAGAAGGGAAATGTTTGTGGTGGGGGCTATTTTTCGTGCCGGTCCGCCGTTGCGCTGTTGTGAGGTCTACAAAGCATTTGCAGCCCCGACACTAGGGCCGGCCAGATCTGGGTGGGCCTGGGCAGCGCTGGCTGGGCGGCGCCGATTTCTGGCAAGGGGGACGCAGTCTGGATGTAGTGGGCGCGGCTTAGCAGGGCGGAATGGGCGTGGCCCAAAGAATCCCCGCCCCGTCCCGCTTAGACAATGCCCCGGAGCCGCCAGACCGTCGCGCCCCCGCCCCATCGTAGTATATGAGCTCGCCTACCCAAGGACCCCCTAAAAGCCAGAGCTCCCAGTCCCTGAGGCTTGAAGACGGGGACTCCCTTCTCCACCAACTCTGTCCTCGGGGGGTGGGGCCCCAGCCGAGATCACAGCGCGACAGGAGTGGGGGTGGCCGCTGGAGGTGAGTCTTGGGTGGGAGGCCCTGAACCGTATGGGGGCCGGAGTTTGGGGGTGCCGGGCCCATGCCTGCACCGGACAAAGTATGGGGAGCCGGCATTTGGGCGCGGAGCTAGGCGGGGTGGACTTTGGGACACAGACGGGGAACCCGGCCCTGGAGCCGGGAGTAGCGCCAGCGCCCCGGAACCACGCCCCCTGTTTCCCCGCCCCTCGCATTTCGTTTTAGACCTCTCCCAGTCCTTTGGGACTCAGTCCGGTTTATACTAGGTCTTGCTAGGGGCAGCGTGACCGGCCAGGGCGGAGAGAGGATGCTTAACTCCTTAGGCTGGAACTCCTCCCTTCCTACCCACCTTTTTTCCCTTCTCTTTCGGGTATTCAAGACTTCCATCCCCCAGCCCTTGACTCTCCAGCTTTCTCCTTCTGTCCCATAACCCCTGCGGGTCCCGGGCCGGACTTCAAGTCCCTACCGTAGCGAGCAGCTGAGGGTTAAGGGGGAGGGGCTGCTGCATTTTTGGGGAGTGAGCGCATCCTAGTGGCTGCCAAGAGGGGCGCCCGACAGGGACCTCACGAAGCCCCCGAGCAGGGGCAACAGGTGTTTTGGAGATTAGACACCCTAGCCTTGTTCCTCAGGCTCCTCTTAAAGAATCTGACCCCTGAGGGTGCTGGGTAGAGTGGGGTCGACAGGAACAGAAGGTCTGGAGGGGGTGGGGCGGAGTGGGAGGGACGCCCAGAGATGGCAGGAGGAAGACCTGGGCGCTCTTAACCACCCCCAACGCCCTTGTCTGCATGTGTCTTTCTCTGTCTCTTCCTTTTCTGTTTCTTCTCCCAGACAGGTGAAGAAACAAGAAAACTAAGAAATTCGAGCGGTTGGAGGGGGCTTCTGTGTGGATGGGATGGGGACGCCGGGGGAGGGGCTGGGCCGCTGCTCCCATGCCCTGATCCGGGGAGTCCCAGAGAGCCTGGCGTCGGGGGAAGATGCGGGGGCTGGCCTTCCGGCTCTGGATCTGGCCAAAGCCCAAAGGGAGCACGGGGTGTTGGGAGGTAAACTGAGGCAGCGACTGGGGCTACAGCTGCTAGAACTGCCACCTGAGGAGTCGTTGCCGCTGGGACCGCTGCTTGGCGACACGGCCGTGATCCAAGGGGACACGGCCCTAATCACGCGACCCTGGAGCCCCGCTCGTAGGCCAGAGGTGAGCGCCACGGCGAGTGTGTGGTATGGGGAAGGGCAGGAGGAGCTGGATGTCGGGGCTTTGGGGAAGAATTGGGGACGGGGGTGTCACAGCTCCGTGCCCTCTTCTCCTATCCTAAGGTCGATGGAGTCCGCAAAGCCCTGCAAGACCTGGGGCTCCGAATTGTGGAAATAGGAGACGAGAACGCGACGCTGGATGGCACTGACGTTCTCTTCACCGGTGAGTCTGGTGGGCGGCACCAGCTGGGTCTTGGCACAGGGAAGTAGAGTTTGGGAGACTCGGCCGTCTCGAGCCTTGTTTCCAACTCATTCCCGCCCTCAAACCTCCGCGGCCTCCCGGACTCAGGCCGGGAGTTTTTCGTAGGCCTCTCCAAATGGACCAATCACCGAGGAGCTGAGATCGTGGCGGATACGTTCCGGGTGCGGAGCGGGACCCGCCTAGGGAGGGAGCGGGGTGCAGGTGGGGGCTCAGAAAGGCCCGGGAGCCCGCTGGGGAAATGAGAGGCACAGAGCAGCCTATGTTTGAGGATATCCCATCACCCCTCCCGCGCCCCTGAAAACCTCCCCTCGCTCTCCCTAGGACTTCGCCGTCTCCACTGTGCCAGTCTCGGGTCCCTCACACCTGCGTGGTCTCTGCGGCATGGGGGGACCTCGCACTGTTGTGGCAGGCAGCAGCGAAGCTGCCCAAAAGGCTGTCCGGGTGAGGAGGGGGCGGGGCCAACGACAGTGGGCGCGGTTCTGGGCCCGGGAGGCAGGGAGCTGGGAGGCTTAGGAAATTAGCCCCAACCCCTGCCCTCATTGGGCTGTCCATCTTATATGAAAGAACACACGAGTAAATAAGAAGTTACAACAGTGGGACTAGGAACAGGGGTGATTAATTTGCTCTTCCGGAGTTTCAGGAAACCCCAAAGTTGGCACCTAAACTGTTACTCTAAGGATGGATAGGACAGATAAGGGGAGGGGCTGGGGAAGGTAGGGGGTTGAAAATAACTGCATGTGATTGCAAGGTGGAAATTAGCAAAGGTAACTAAAGTACTTAGTGTCTGACATACAGTAAGCTCTATGTGCTTGCTGTCATTATTATGCACAAATGTCGGTCTTTCCCTAGCCCTTAGTGGTGGTGAAGCAGGCGGACTCAGCTGTGGAGAGGTTCTGAGACTGCAACACTTCCTTTTTCCTCCAGGCAATGGCAGTGCTGACTGATCACCCATATGCTTCCCTGACCCTCCCAGATGACGCAGCTGCTGACTGTCTCTTTCTTCGTCCTGGGTTGCCTGGTGTGCCTCCTTTCCTCCTGCACCGTGGAGGTGGGGATCTGCCCAACAGCCAGGAGGTGAGGGAGGGCAGGAACTCCAACACCAAGCACCATCAGAGAAAAGAGTTTCAGGCTTTCCTAGTGGGAGGAAGGGTACTTTCTCTAGAAGCCTGGGTGGGGCCACTCTGAGCTGGCTGGAAGAGTGGCCTGGCTCAGCCTGAGGTCTCACTACCCTCTCCCCACTCCATGTCCTCCCTGTGCAGGCACTGCAGAAGCTCTCTGATGTCACCCTGGTACCTGTGTCCTGCTCAGAACTGGAGAAGGCTGGCGCCGGGCTCAGCTCCCTCTGCTTGGTGCTCAGCACACGCCCCCACAGCTGAGGGCCTGGCCTTGGGGTACTGCTGGCCAGGGGTAGGATAGTATAGGGAGCAGAAGGGGAAGGAGGGTTAGATAGAGAATGCTGAGTAGGCAGTAGTTGGGAGAGAATCTCAATATGGGGGGAGGGCAGAGTGTAGGGAAAAGGATAGGGTCCACTGGGTGAGTCCTCCCTCTCAGAACCAATAAAATAGAATTGACCTTTTAGACTGGGCTGTGACTGGTGTCTTATTGGGGCAAAGGGATAAGGCAGGGCTAAAACTTGAGGTTGGGGTCAGTGCAGGGAAGAAGGCCTCTCATTCAAAAAACTTGTTAGGTACTTACCAACTCATTGCCCAACCATGTCATAGGAACTTGCGCAAAAGATGGACAAGACAGAATTTCTATCATGGGAAGTGTGTCCAGGGCAGAGAAAAGAGTGTACGGATGGATTGCTCACTGAATTTATCTAAAAGTCAGATGATTCAGAGACTGGTAGATTACCAGTCCACCCCTATTTGATAAAGAAAAAGAAATGACACTTCCAGGGACATTCATTTTTCATTCATTCATTTACGGAGGCTTAGTAATGATATCAAAAGGGTCAGTCTCCTGATGGTGGGGAGCTCACAGTACATGCAAATTTCTTACAAATTGAAATACAGGTTGTGATGTGATGGAACAATTTACAGAAGGCTGTTTCTATGAGGGAAATAAAGGGGGTGTGCCCTAGGGCATCAAAGTATATATAAGGGGTGGGCAAGGAGGGTCAGCTTCCCAGAGAAGGCCACACTTGAACTGAGGATAAATAAGAATTAGCCAGGCAGGTAGTGTGGAGGAGGGAAAGCGGTACTACAGAAAGAAGGAATTGCACTGGGCAAAGACATTTGGGGGCTAGGGAGAATTCTCTTAAGGCTGACATTTTCTTTTTTTTTTTTTTTTTTTTTTTTTTTTTGAGACCGAGTCTCGCTCTGTCGCCCCGGCTGCAGTGGCCGGATCTCAGCTCACTGCAAGCTCCGCCTCCCGGGTTTACGCCATTCTCCTGCCTCAGCCTCCCGAGTAGCTGGGACTACAGGCGCCCACCACCTCGCCCGGCTATTTTTTTGTATTTTTTAGTAGAGACGGGGTTTCACCATGTTAGCCAGGATGGACTCGATCTCCTGACCTCGTGATCCGCCCGTCTCGGCCTCCCAAAGTGCTGGGATTACAGGCTTGAGCCACCGCGCCCGGCCCAAGGCTGACATTTTCTAAGACGTGCATGTGGAGTGACAGAGAGAAGCCTGGAGAGTGGACAAAGTGCTGTTGTATGTTGTATCCAAAGCCAAGGCATGTGGGCACAGAGCTGAAGCTAAGGAGAGTACTTCAGTTCTGTAATAAGGGCTGTCAGAAGCAGTTGTCTCTTGAGTAGCATCTCTCTGACTTCAGGGAGGAAAGCAAGGGTAGGAGGATGAGGTGGGGCTATGGGTAATCCAGGAAGGAAGTAAGGAGAGTACATTCACTTGGCAGCGCTAGGCATGGAATAGAGTGTGGGTTTGACAGTGATGTTAAGATAGAAAGACTGGACTTTATGGCTCACTGTGTGGGAGTAAGAGAGGAAGGAGGTCTGCGTGACTCCCAGTTTCTGGGTTGGGCAACTGGATTGTTAAAGAGAATGCAGAGGAGAATTAAGTGAGCAGCTTCAGAGATGACAATGAGTTGGGTTTGACATTCGGAGTACAAAATGCCTGAGGTCAGTCAGGCAGAATGTCTAAGGGGAAGTTTGTTAATCCCAAATCTGAGATCTGAGCCAGACAGAGTTCTGGGTGTCATTTGCAGAGGTGGGGGCTGAGGACTGACTGTGGATGAGAGTGTCCCAGAAGAACAGAAAGGGACAAACCTAGAATGATGGGGAATACTGTAGGGATATGGAGCAAGGAAGAGGAGTCCAAAAAGAAAACACCAGTAACAAAGTAAAATAGAGTTTAAAGAATGGAGTAATCAGGCCGGGCGCTGTGGCTCACACCTGTAATCCCAGCACTTTGGGAGGCCGAGGCGGGTGGATCACGATGTCAGGAAATCAAGACCATCCTGGCTAACACAGTGAAACCCTGTCTCTACCAAATATACAAAAAATTAGCTGGGCGTGTTGGCAGGCGCCTGTAGTCCCAGCTACTCAGGAGGCGGAGGCAGGAGAATGGCGTGAACCCGGGAAGCGGAGCTTGCAGTGAGCCGAGATTGTGCCACTGCACTCCAGCCTGGGCGACAGAGCGAGACTCTATCTCAAAAAAAAAAAAAAAAAAAAAGGAATGGAGTAATCAGAGACCAAACCAGATGAATACTAAAAATGTCTACTGGGTGTGGCTATTAGGACGTTACCTGCAATCTTATGGAGAGCAGATAAGCAATTTCAACAGATGAGCAGTGGGGATAAAGTGAAGGAGAAGAAAATGAAAAAGGCAGGTGTATGCCCCTGGTTCCAAAGTTTGACTGTGAAGGGAAGGGAAGAGATAAGGCAACTGTCTGGGACTTTTGATGTCGTGAGATAGGAGCTAGGGCTTGATTGGATATAGAGAGGACACCGGTGTTGAGGGAGACATGGAGGTTATAGGAGAGATGTGAGTAAGTGTAGGAGTAAGATCAGTGGCAGAGACAGCCTAGAGCCCAGGTCTCCCGACTCCCAGTCTAGCACTTATTTCCATACCGTGGTGCCTTCCTCTTCCAGGTGAGGACCAAGGAGGGGAGAGGGATTATGGGTAGCTGGGATCCCCTAGTTTGGGAGGTTTGGAGTAAGGGCTTCCCTTCAAACTACAACCGCATAGATGGTGGAGGCATCAGCAGGGTCCACTGTGGACAGTCGGCGGGGCCTGCTGAGGGCTAGATGGTCCAGATCCGCATAGAGCAGGCTCTGGAGGAGGAAGGGGAGGAAGACAAGATGGTCTCCACAGTCTCCCTTGGGGTTCAGGCCTTTTTTTTTTTTTGGTCCATATTCCTCAGAGATTCTGGCCATCCCCATCCCATCCCCATGCCCTTACCGGTTCCTGGTCCAGGTCCCCTGGAATCTTGGGCTCTTCCTCCTTTACTGGCCTCTGGGGCTCGGTTTTCACAAGTGGAGCTATGTGGGGGGGACAGAGCTGAAGGATGGAGAGAAGGTGACCAACGTGTCTGTTCCCAGCAAGGGCTCAGACTCAGGAATTGAGGGGTGGGGAGTGGGTGTGTAGGAGAAAGAAAACGGGGTGGAGTTAGTCTCACCAAATCTAGGGAGTGGTCGAATCGGTTGCGGGGGCAGGCGCCTGTAAGGGACATATGAGTCTTTGAGAGCCACCAGTCTTGTCTCACTGGTTCTCCTGGGACTCAGGCCGCGCCAAGGACAGTCCAGCAACTTGAAGGCTCAGACCGGAAACAACTTAGACTCTACCCCCACCGACAGTCCAGCCCAGGCTCTGACTCTGCTGCACTTCCAACTCATCTCCTCTGGCTGGGCTCTACTCACCAGCCAGCGGCCTCGCTCCCACCTTTGACCTCTCCCATTCTTCGCCAAGACAGGACCAGAGCTCGAGGTCTAGCTCTTTGTTTTGCGAAGGTTCTGGTCCTGCCCTTTCCACCTCTGGTCACTCCCATTTAACCAGGCCAGGTCCCTCCTGCTCACCTGTGCAGCCACCAGACCAGGCCCAAAGCTCCCAGTCCCAGCACCAGCCCAGCGCCCAGCAGCGGGATCAGGAGCTGGGGATACACGGACCCTGGGGGGAAGGCATGGCGGGGAGGGATGCTGAGGTCAGGGGTTTGACGAGAGAGAGCCAGCTCTCCCGCTCAAGAACCTCCAGCCAAGGCCCTCTTCCCTCCTCTTCCCTCCTCTGGGTATGTGTCGGAGTTAAGTACCCTTGTGCGCACAGGCCTGGACCTACCATGGGTAGGCCCAGGAGTCTTGCAATAGGTCCTGTCCCCCAGCACGTGAAGCACTGTACGGCTCTCGTCCTCGTGGCGGCCCTTGCAGAAAAAGGTGCCCGAGTCCCCGGCGCTCAAGAGGAGCTCCAGCCGCCGGATACTAGAGTCCAGGGAGCGAAGGCGGCCTACAAAAGGCTGGAGGGGAGGCACGGTGGGGGTCCCGCTCGAAGAGGCCCACAGGATCGGTCGGCGTCCTTTGGAGAGGCCCTTGCAGGCCGGAAAGCTGGGCGCCCAGACCCAGCGGATGGGGTGAGAGACTCCTACGCAAGAGAGATTCACCCGGTCCCCAGGGCGGCCGTCCAGAGAAGCTAGGAGAGGCCGGAGGCTGTGGTTAGGGCCGGTCCATAGGGCAAGACGACCCCCCATCCCGTCTCCTCTTTCTCTTCTCTCTTCTGCACTCCAGCCATCCTGGATCTTCCCACGCACAACCCACCCTACTAGGCGGCCCCTTTCTTGCTTCAGCCCCTCTGCATCTATCACAACTCTCCCAGGGATCGCTTACCCCCTTGGTTCCCTTGGGCCCTCAAGAGCAGCAGCGGTAGCAGCTGCAGAAACACAGCCATGGTTGGGATGTGGTGAGGAGAAGCTGCGAGCGAATCAGCGGCGTGGGGCGGGTTGGCGGGGGACCGGAGGGAAGTTGGGGGTGAGGAGAACGGAGGGGCTGGGGGGCTCCGATAAGAGAGGGGGCGGGGCCACCAACTGCCCAGATCCCTTTGGGAATCCTCGCAGGCAAACTCAGAGTCCTCAGATGGTGCTCACTTAAAATGTGTGCTCGGGCCATTTACACAAACGCTTTTGCCTGCTTAACTTTTCAGGCGCGCCTGTAATTCCAGCTACTTACGAGGCTGAGGAGGGAGGATCGCTTGAGCGCAGGAGGTCCAGGTTGAAGTGAACTGTGATCAGGCCATTGCACTCCAGCCTGGGCGACAGAGCCAGCCAGACCCTGTCTCAAAAACAACAACAACAAAAATCCCTATTTTGTAGGGTATTGTGATAACGAAATAAAGTAATGCATGTAAGCTGCTTAGAATACATAGGATCACTATGTAAGTACTTGCCATTATTATTACTATTTCTATTCTTTTTTTTTTTTTTTTTTTTTTTTTGAGACAGAGTCTCACTCTGTTGCCAGGCTGGAGTGCAATCTTGACTCACTGCAACCTCTGCCTCCTGGATTCAAGTGATTCTCCTGCCTCAGCCTCCCAAGTAGCTGGGACTACAGGCGCACACCACCACACCCAACTAATTTTTGTATTTTTAGTAGAGACGGGGTTTCAGCATGTTGGCCAGGATGGTCTTGATCTCTTGACCCTGTGATCCACCCACCTCGGCCTCCCAAAGTGCTGAGACTGCTGGCGTGAGCCACCACCCCTAGCCTACTATTTCTATTCTTATTTTAGCTTCTACCTCACCTCTCTGTGCCCATGCTGTTCCTCCTGCCTTGGTGCCCTGCCCAAGTTGGCAGGTTTTGTTTAGGGAGGTGCTTTGGAGCAGGTGCACACAGCCACACCTAGGACAATTGCTGCTGCTGGACTGGAGCAACAAGGTCACACCACGTGCAAGTGGAGCCGAGGTGACGTCCTGAGAACCTTCATGGGAGCCTGAGGCAGCCCCTACTTAGCAGACCTGTGGTGGCTCCCCTAGATGAGTAGCCCCAGCCCCTGCCTCTGCTGCTATGGCATCACAGAAGCCATCAGTGAGTCACTGATGGCTGAGCAGGCATTGGAAAGACCGAGTGGGGCCTGAATGGAGATTAATTTGACCCATTCCATCCCCAATTTCCACCAGCATGTCCCTATCAATGTCCAGCAGGGACCCAGGGACCCAAATTCAGCAATTAGTTTGGGCCTTATCCTTTTGTCCATTTCCCAGGAACCAGCAGAAGCTACCACCATGGACACTGTAAATCACAGAGGCCTTTGATGATGCTCCTTTAGAGGACTCGGCAGCAGGACTGTTAGCGGGGGGCCAGGAAGGGCATCTTGGCCTGAAACCAAGAACCACAATGGCATTGGCCACTAGTGGCACCTGCCCTCCCGCATCCCTCTCTCCCATCCCTACTTCCCACTCTGTCCTGCTCAGTGCCTCCCCACCCCTTGTCTTTTCTCTGGTCAGCTGTGTAGTAAGTGGGAAGGGAGGGGCTATCAGAGGCAGTGAAGGGAGGAGCCTTTAGGTTTATAAGTTCCAAAAAGGCCACTCAACTCCCAGAGCTGGATTCTACTTTATCAGCTGCTGTGGTTGCCACCATTCTCAGGACCCTCGCCATGAAAGTTCTTTTGCTGCTCACCCTGTCTGCTCTGCTCTGCTGGGTCTCAGGTGAGCACCTGGGGGCCCCAAGGACCTGGTTTGCCTGGTCAGGACCTTTACACCCTGCTTTACCCACTTCCCTGCCTTACCCACCACTCGGGATCCCAACACCCCCAGCCCCAACTGGCTCAGCTCTCCTGTGCCACCAAGACCAGGCTTCCCTATGACAGCCTCCTTGCTCTGTTTCTCAAAATGCCAGGTCTCCATCCATCTTCCCCACCTCCAAGACAGACCCATTTCTCTCACCTGCCAGGGCTCTGGGTCCCCTGTTCCCCACTCCAAGGTGTCCCCTCTTTGGAAACTCTGGTATCCAGTTCCCCAACCAGCCCCACTTCAATATACAGCTCTCCAGAATCTAGCTTACCTGCCTTCTCCTCTATCTGCTGTGCTCAGTAAGGTGTCCTCTCAAAGACCTAGGCATCCAGTCCCAGGCTCCTTTTGTAGCCCACCCTCCCCATCTACTCCATCAGGGAATCAGATGTTCAGTCCCTCAGCCATGGCCTTTCCTAGATACCCTCTACTCCCCTCCTGGGTTGCATACCCACTCCCCTACCAGGGATACAAGCTTTCTAGATGGTTGCAGTGACATCTAAGAGCCTCCATGGAGATAGAGCATTTTCGTGAACCTTCTGAAGAGGGGACACCTGGGCCACTCACCTCCAGGGTGAGGTGGATTTCACTGAGGTGCACTTACCAGGCTCCTCCACCCTTGGACCCTGCGTCACCAAACTTGCCTGCCCAAACCTTGAATTAACTGAAGCAGGAACTTTGGGGTGCCGCCTTCTGTATCCACTCTCTCCATTTTGATAAGGTGCTAAGATGGAATCTGGTGATCTGTCTCTCAGGTATCATTCCTTTCTGCTGAAGAGCTACTGGGGTGAGAGGATTCTGTTCAGGTCTGGTTCCTCTTCCCACACTCTTGCCAGCTCCAGGAGGTGAAGAGTAAATTGTAAATTGCTAAAGCTGGCCACAAATGGCTTTCTCGCCAACCTCAAGTTCCAAGACATTTCTGACAGTGTTGTAACAGTCATGATTTTCATTTTTATTATTTCTTCTTCTTTTAAGTTTCCATCTCCTCCTTCACCACCCACATTCTTTCCCCATGGTATCTTCCTCACATTCCATCTATCTCCAGCCCCATGTTTTTGTTCATAGCTCTGTCCCTCTTGACTCATCTCCAAACGGGGTGGAGTGAAGGAAAATATGTAGGGCGTGGGTCTTTCACAAAGCAACAACTCTACCCTTACCTGCCGCCTACTTTCCATTTTCCCTGCATCACTCACCTGCTCTGTGCTTACTAGACCAAACAGCCAAACAGGTTGGAGCACCTACGTGATGGGCTCTTCTCCACCCTCCACCCCCGCCCCCAGCCCAGCTCATCCCCAGGTAAGTCAGAGACCACCTCAGCCTGACTTGTGTCTTCTCAGCTGACATTCGCTGTCACTCCTGCTACAAGGTCCCTGTGCTGGGCTGTGTGGACCGGCAGTCCTGCCGCCTGGAGCCAGGACAGCAATGCCTGACAACACATGCATACCTTGGTAACATCCCCTTCCTTAGTGGGGAGAGCAGGGAGGTGGGAGACTCTATGGCTAGGATTGAGGCCCAAATGGGGCTAAGACTGAGACAGAGAAGCAGAGGATTATAGCAATGATAATATCTGGCCAAAAATGATTGTGTGCAACCTTCTATGTCTTTGCATGTCTTTTTTTCAATTAGTGTTCATGACAACCCTGTGATGTGGTTGCTATTATTATATTGAGAAAACGGCCTCAAAAAGAGACAGTAACACAACCGGGCATGGTGGTTCGTGCCTGTAATCCCAGCACTTTGGGAGGCCAAAGCAGGTGGATCACTTGAGGTCAGGAGTTCAAGACCAGCCTGGCCAACATGGTGAAACCCCATTTCTACTAAAAATACAAAAATTAGCCAGGCATGGTGGTGGGCGCCTGTAATCCCAGCTACTCGGGAGGCTGAGGCAGGAGAATTGCTTGAACCCGGGAGGCAGAGGTTGCAGTGAGCTGAGATGGCACCACTGCACTCCAGCCTGGGTGAGAATAAGACTCTGTCTTGAAGAAAAAAAAAAAAAGAGAGAGACAGAGAGAGAGTAACAGGTCCAAGGCCTTATGGCCAGCAAGTGATAGAACCAGGACTGGGGGAGTGGTAGGTAAGGACGTGCAGGAGGAAGATCAGACTGAGAAAAGAGAAGGGGAGGGCCAGGGACAGAGTTGGGAAGGAAGGAAGCCTAGGTGGGTGGATGGGGTGGGGAGGTGAACACAGGCATGCCAGGTGCCCATCCTAGCTGGTTCCCTGCCCATTCCCACCCCTAGGTAAAATGTGGGTTTTCTCCAATCTTCGCTGTGGCACACCAGAAGAGCCCTGTCAGGAGGCCTTCAACCAAACCAACCGCAAGCTGGGCCTGACATATAACACCACCTGCTGCAACAAGGACAACTGCAACAGTGCAGGCCCCCGGCCCACTCCAGCCCTGGGCCTTGTCTTCCTTACCTCCTTGGCTGGCCTTGGCCTCTGGCTGCTGCACTGAGACTCATTCCATTGGCTGCCCCTCCTCCCACCTGCCTTGGCCTGAGCCTCTCTCCCTGTCTCTGTATCCCCTGGTTTTACAGAATGATCTCTCCCTAGCTCCCATTTCTTTAATTAAACACTGTTCCGAGAGGTCTCCTCATCCATCCTTCCCACCTCACACCCTTCACTGCTTTTTCCGGGTCCCTTCCCACTTCCTTCTAGGGCCTCCATTGGCTCCTAGAAGGGCTCCCCACTTTGCTTCCTACACTCTACTGTCCCCTTCTTGAGAAGGGATTGGGATCTGGGCCTGAAATGGGGCTTCTGTCTTGTCCCCAGTGAAGGCTCCCACAAGGACCTGATGACCTCACTGTACAGGCTCCCATACGTACCCCATCCCCCATACTGACCTCTTTCCGTTTTGAGTAATAAATGTCTGAGTCTGATAAAATGCACATTTATTATCAGAAGACCTAAGGGTCAGGTCACCTCCCAGGAAATAATACTCTCAATCTCCCACCCTTACACAGGAATCCTTCAGGGAGGTTCGCTGTGAGGCTGTGCTGGGGCAAATGGAGAAACAGGTTTTTCAGGTCTTCATCCTCCCTTCCCGTGTCTCCAGGTGGCACACAACAACTCATATCCCAAATTTAGGCCACACCCCTGATGTATTGCCAAGAAGAAGGTGCAGCCTGGCTTGAGGGCTCTCCAGAAAGGATAGGAGAGGCACATGGGGATGGGGCCCGAGACCCTGTTTCTTCAGTTTCTCTCAGGTTACAGTCAGAGGCCTCACCTGGCCTGGTTAGTAAGTAGGGCACCAAGCAGTTTTTACCTATCACACTTTTTACATTTCTTTTCTCAATTCAAAATAGTCCTATTGGGAGCCAAGTTGCAAATGGGAGAAAAGGGAGCAAACCCAGACTCAGGCTCGCAAAACCCTGGCAACCCTACTCAGTGAATCTCATTGCTAAGGAAGATTCAACCTAGCAACAGGATCCAGGAGCCACAGAAGGCAGAGAAGCCATTGTCCTTTGGGGTTTAGTTGGTTAAGGAGTGCACCACTGTAATTAAGCCCGCTGTTGCTTGGTAACCCCCAAACTAGAACCTGGATGCCCCATATTACCCTTTAAGTCCTCCCATCAACCAAAGATAGATGCAATTTTCCAGTCAGCTGTAGAGTGGTGCATAGATTTTAATGACTCACAGAAGGATGCCTGTCTTCTCACATTAGATGTTCGGATGTCCCTTGTTCCCTTGCTCCCTTGCTCCTTTCTCTACTCCTACTCCCACTACCCGCTCCACAGTCCCGGTAAGAGACAGGTCAGGGCGGTAGCTGCTGCAGCCAAAATGCATGCAGGGGCCACGTGGCTTGCCATGGCGCTGTTGCACAGGTCTCCCAGGTAGCAGTCCCTGTGGGCTGGATAAGTCACGTCTCCCACCGACTCTGTCTCCACTTGATTGCAATGATGGGCTGCGACGCAGGCTGGATGTTGGTGAATCAAGGTCACTGGGGCTGAGAGAGAGAATGAAACTGGGGTGTTGGACTCCTGGCTTCAGGACTTGCCTTCTGGGGCAGAGCAGATGTGATTTCAAGGAGCCCAAAGGGATTTTCAGCCCCCTCAAAAAACACCTCCCTGAAACCAAGTGATCAAAGTTAATGCATTGACATTGTAAACTCCTGATGTGATGCATGAGAAGGACACAACGTCACTTCTGCAGTATTCTTGCTTAAAATGCATGACCTCAATCTCATCATGGCAAATATCAGATAAATATAAATTGAGGGACATTCTCTTTTTTTTTTTTTTGAGACGGAGTCTCGCTCTGTTGCCCAGGTTGGAGTACAGTGACAGGATCTCAGCTCACTGCAAGCTCCGCCTCCCGGGTTTACGCCATTCTCCTGCCTCAGCCACCCGAGTAGCTGGGACTACAGGCGCCCACCACCTCGCCGGCCAGTTTTTTGTATTTTTTAGTAGAGACGGGGTTTCACCGTGTAGGCCAGGATGGTCTCTATCTCCTGACCTCGTGATCCGCCTGTCTCGGCCTCCCAAAGTGCTGGGATTACAGGCTTGAGCCATTGTGCCCAGCCTGAGGGACATTCTATAAAATAATTTTTAGTATATCAAGTATACGTAAATTTTTTTTTTTTTTTTGAGATGGAGTTTCACTCTTGTTGCCCAGTTGGAGTGCAATGGTGCATTTTCAGCTTACCGCAACCTCCACCTCTTGGGTTCAAGCAATTATCCTGCCTCAGGTTCCCGAGTAGCTGGGATTATAGGCATGCACCACCACACCTGGCTAATTTTGTATTTTTAGTAGAGACAGGGTTTCTCCATGTTGGTCAGGCTAGTCTCAAACTCCGGACCTCAGGTTATCCACCTGCCTTGGCCTCCCAAAGTGCTGGGACTACAGGCGTGAGCCACTGCATCCGGCACGTAAATTTTTTAAAAATCTAAAAATGATTTTTTTTTTTTTTTAAGACAGAGTCTTGTTCTGTCACCCAGGCTGGAGTGCAGTGGCTGGATCTCAGCTCACTGCAAGCTTCGCCTCCCGGGTTCATGCCATTCTCCTGCCTCAGCCTCCCGAGTAGCTGGGACTACAGGCGCCCGCCACCTCGCCTGGCTAGTTTTTTGTATTTTTTAGTAGAGATAGGGTTTCACCGTGTTAGCCAGGATGGTCTCGAACTCCTGACCTCGTGATCCACCCATCTCGGCCTCCCAAAGTGCTGGGATTACAGGCTTGAGCCACCGCGCCCGGCCAAAATGATTTTATTTATTTTTAGAGAAAAGGTCTTGCTGTGTCACTCAGGCTGGAGTGTGGTGGTGCAATCATAGCTCACTATAGCCTCGAACTCCTGGGCTCAAGTAATCTTCCTACCTCAGCCTCCCAGGAAGCTGAGATTACAGGTGTGTGCCACCATGCCTGGCTAATTTTTAAAAAACATTTTTTGGCCGGGCGTGGTGGCTCACACCTGTAATCCCAGCACTTTGGGAGGCTGAGGCAGGTGGATCACGAGGTCAGGAGATCGAGACCATCCTGGCTAACACAGTGAAACCCCATCTCTACCGAAAACTCCGGACCTCAGGTTACTCTTCCGCCTTGGCCTCCCAAAGTGCTGGGATTACAAGTGTGGGCCACTGAGCCCAGCCTAAAAATGATTTTTTTTTTTTTTTTTTTTAGACAGGGTCTCATTTTGTTCCCCAGGCTGGAGTATAGTGGCATGATCATGGCTCACTGTAGCTTCAACCTCCCAGGCTCAAGCAATCTTCCCTCTTCAGCCCCCTGAGTATCTAGGATTACAAACATGTGCCACCATGCCCAGCTAATTTTTTAATCTTTTTTTTTTTTTGTAGAGACAGGGTCTCCCTATGTTGCCCAGACTGGTCTCAACTCCAGGGCTCAAGTGGTCCCCCCACCTTGGCCTCCTGAAGTGCTGGGATTACAGGTGTGAGTCACTGCACCAGCCCTAAAAGTGATTTTTTAAACTCTAGGTATAAAATAATTTATCAGAGCTCTTCAAATATGTCAGGGTCATGAAAGACAAAGAAAAACAGAACTGGCACAGATCAGAGGAGACAAGGAAGACACGAGAGCTAAATGCAATGTAGGATCCTGCTAAATCAAATAAAGTCTGTAGATTAGTTAGTAGTATTGTATCAATGTTATTCTGTGATTTTGATAATTGTACCATGGTTATGTAAGATGTCAGCATTAGGAAAAGTTGAGTATTTCTGCAACTTTTCTGTCAATCCAAAATTACGTTAAAATAAAATATTAAGAACATGTACACACACACAGACAGACACACACACACACACACACACACACACACACACACACACACCCCGGTCCTTGACTAATGCCGAAATTTTGAAGTTTGGTTTTAACTTTGGCCTTTCAGGGCCAGAGCTCTTCACCTGTGAGCTAATGGGCCTATGAGATTCTTTTGGGAGAGTAAGGAGGTGGAGAGGTGGGGGCACAAGGACTGTGGGCCTCTCAGGGGCTCCGTGCCAGGAGCCAGAAGGGGTACAGACTGCTCTCCTCTGACAGCCGCACCATCTGCCCAGAGCCAGACTGAGCCTGGAGGGTTCTGGAAGCCAGAAGGATTGACGTGGGGCTGGAGGCAGGGAAAGGCTGTGGGAAGAGGGAGAAATGGAGGACTCACGGTTTCCAGGTAGCTTGATCTGTTCCAGGCCTGGCTGGGGTCTGCCCTCGCCACAGGTGGTCACGGCTTCTTTGCAAGAACTGCTGGGGCTTCCACCACAATTGTAGCACCGCATTCGGTTTCCTGGCAGGAGAAAAGAGGCGCTGGACCTGGGCCCTCGGTGGAGCTGGCTGGCAGAAGGCCTGTGTGAGAGGCTAGCTGGCCGCCTCCTTACCCAAGGCAGCCCCTAGCAGGGAGCTGAGCAAGATCCCAACAAACTGGGGTTTCATCGCAGTCTGCCCGTGTCAGGACCGCCTCTACCTCCCGCCCACCCCCCTCCCCTAGCCCGACTCTACCTGCCTTATATCCCCCTTGCCTTGAGCTTTATAGGGCTATAAAAAAAAGAGGAAAGAGTCTCCCCCAGCAGGCTCCAGGGGCCCCAGTGGGGACAGGGAGGGGCCCCACGGCATGCCCTCAGCATCCTCTGGAGTTCTCAAACTCCTTTATCCCCAGCAGCAGTCCTGAAACTGTGGACCAAGAAGAACCCCTGGGGATCCCTAATACCCTTTCACAGGGTCCTTGAGGGTCTTCCTTTTGCAACTATCTGCGTAAGATCATATTTTCTTCATATACTGGACTTCAATGAAAACAACATATCCCAACAGACTGCAGATAGGAAAACCCAGGCATCTTCCACGAAGCCTGACATTAGATTCACAAAAATGTAAAGCAATGCTCAGCTTCTCACTGTGCTGTGGGGAAATAATAGTTATTTTTCACAAAACCATATTTTGTTAGCATGCAATAATTTATTATTTTTATTGTTAAATAAATCAATACCTACTTTAAATGATCTGTTTTAATTTTTAATATAGTAAATATTGATATAACCTCATAAAGAAAAGCTCTTCAGAGTCTTAAGTAACTTTGAAAAGTGTAAAGAGGTCCTGAGATCAATGTTTTTTAAAAGAGCTGCTCTCCTGGGCACCTGTGTCTCCCCTATCTTCACTCCCTGTTCCTAGTCTTACTCCTCCTGGTACATGCTGGCTCTGATTCCCCAGATGGGCCTTCCTCCTTCCCAATTTCTTCAACCTCAGTCTTCCAGGTTCTATCACCACCCCTCTACCCCAAATTCTATCCATGCCTTCCTTTCTAGTGATTTCTCCCCAGTGCAAGCACATCCGGCTGGCCCTGCAGCCCCACCCATGATTCTTTCTTTCCTCCAAGGTAGTAAAGCTGTCAGGGATAATTATGGGGTAGGAATGTTGAAGCTTGGGGGGATCAAAGGGATCTGAAGCTGGGTGGGATCCGCCCTTATACAGCTGGGCTTTGTGTGTGCGTGTGGGTGGGTGGGTGTGGGGGGGTATTGTTGATTCTACACTCAAACAGATCCACGCCAGGGTTGTTTAGGAGGGTGACCTTGAAGGACATGAAAGCTCTGAGGGGGAAAGACAGAGAAAACAAAGACGGAGAGAAGCTAAGAGAGCCAGGGAGCAGCTTGAGACACGGGGAGGGAGGGAGAGGAGTAGGAGGGAAGGCGACAGACACAACTCAGGAGCAGGAGAGGAAGCTAAGTTACAGAGACAACATGCTGAGAGAGCAGAGGAGACCCTCCAGGCAAAGGCAGACTCCTAGCAGGGGCAGACTGGGGGCCCCCACTGCCTGTGGGTCAGGCTGATGAATCTGGTCACGGTTCCACCCCCTAGATTCACTCCCTAGGTGTGTTTGTTTACTGGTTCCTCCCTGTCTTGCTCAAATGTTCCAACTTTACAAATCCCGGGATCTCAGGATGCAGATCACCTCTCCCCAATTCCTGACCCTGCGTTTGGCCATAGGCACCTCCAACATCTTCCTCTGTGTCCTGTTCCTCTGTGGTGCACTGGGTAAGGGTGGACTGGGGAACCTTCAGTGGTCAGGGGGCTGGGGGCGGGGACAAGGGCATGTAGAGGAACCTGAGGGCTGGGGAGCAGAGGGGTGGGAGTGCTGGAAGAGGCCAAGAAGAGAGCTGGGGGAGTGGGGGATTTCAGGGAGACCAGCCACTGGGAAGGCCAGCCTGATGAGGTGGGAAAGGAAGAGTTTCCTTTCAAAAGTATTTGAGAATAACTGTCTCCTCCTTGCTGCATCTTTGACCCACCCCTGTCTCCCCTATCCCTTATTTCAGCTCTTGCTTCTGTGCTGGGCCCTTTGGTCAATGTCAATTTCTATTTTCCTATCTGTCTCTGCTGCCATTTACTTAACTTTTTCACTGACCGCCTCTACTTCCCTGCTGCTGGGTCTGGCTTTTTGTCTTACTCTTCTTATGTTGGTCTCTGATTCTCATGGCTTCTGTTCATGTCTGCTCATCTCTCAATCCCTGTACCGCTCTTACCTCCATCTCTGTTTCTTTTCCTGCATCGTCTCCCCTCCCTTCTCTGTGTTTCTTTTTTTTTTTTTTTGAGACGGAGTCTTGTTCTGTCACCCAGGCTGGAGTGCAGTGGCATGATCTCGGCTCACTGCAACCTCAGCTACCCGGGTTCAAGAGATTATCCTTCCTCAGCCTACCGAGTAGCTGGGACTAGAGGCACGTGCCACCATGCCTGGTTAATTTTTTGTATTTTTAGTAGAGACGGGGTTTCACCATGTTAGCCAGGATGGTCTTGATCTTCTGACCTCATGATCCGCCCGCGTCGGCCTCCCAAAGTGCTGGGATTACAGGCGTGAGCCACTGCGCCCGGTCACTTTTTCTACTTCTGTCTGCTTTCCTCCCTTGTTCCACAGCTTTCCTCTCTCTGCTTCGTGTGTCACCTCTCTCTGATATCCCTCTCCGGATCTAGCCTCTGCCTGCCCCACAGGGAGGGTTTGCCTCTTCTGCTCTCCTAATCTCTGCTGCCTCAACAGGTCTCACCATGTCCCCTGCCCGGGGAAGGCTCCGCTGTTAAACCTGCAGCTTGGCCAAACCCTGCTACCCTGTTCCCACCAAGTGTCAGGACGATGAAGCTTGCAGCATTAGTATTGGCACCTCAGGTAGGGCTCTGGTCCAGTGGCCCTTCTCCAGGCGGCTCCCTACCTCCATCCATCGCGCCTTTCCTGTGGCCCCCGCCTCAGCATGCCTCCTTCATCCCACAGATCAGAGTGAGATCATCGAGCGAAAAGGCTGCCTCCCAAGGGCCCAGTGCCCTCTGCCGAGCCATGCCACCTACTGGCTGCGCTCCTACATTCTGCGGCACCACTGCTGCTAGCAGGACCTGTGCAACATGGCCACTTCCCCACGGCAGCTCACCAGCCTCCTTGCCTCCCCACCCCTCCTTGTGGCCAGCTTCGCCGGGATCTGCAGCCCCCAACCCAGGATTCCGCCGCCATCACCACGGCCCTGGAAACACCTGCACAGACACTTTGAGACATGCCCGACAACCTAATTTTGTACAGAGACCCCAGATCTCTCAGGAGACCCCCTCACAGATCCCTCACAAGACCTGGGGAGGCACCTGCCCAGAGTCCAGCCTCATAAAGAACACCTATTCTGTGTCTTTTGTCTTTTCTAGATGCCCATTGCTGATACCCCCTGTCAGCCCAGGTCACTGGCAAGGCAGGCATTTTGATGACACTGTGGATCTCAGGCAAAGGGATCAAAGCGGCATCAGGTATGGTAAGGAGGAGAGTCTTGCTAGGAAAGACTAATGTGGTAGGTCGGGAGCTCAGGATGGAGGGCTTGGGGGACTATGAAGAGTAGCTTTAATAAAAGGTCTATCTAGGAGTACAGTAATACTGCAGATACTGCAGTGTATGTGTGAGCTCTAAGAGCGAACTATAGCTGCTTGGTGGGTTGGGCTGGAGCTGGAACCTGGACCACAGCACTCCCCTCATTCTCCATCTGTGTCATGTGCTTCCTTTATCCTGCCAATGGCTTAGTTTAAGCCCCTGCAGCCTGAAGGCGTTAGGTGAGACTTCTGAGAAAGCTTTTCTCCAGTAAGGCCCAAGCTTGAGCAGAGACACAAAAGGGCACCCAGTGGAGCTGCTTGTGAGGGTGTGGCTGGAGCTCAGCTCATTTCTGCCTGAGACTGAGGAATGGCCAAGTTGGGAGCATCAATACCCTCTGTCGCTTCACCAGCCCAGACTCGCCCATGATTCACAAACATCCCAGCATGGCCCCGGCCCAATAAATAATACACCCCCACTGGGCCTGCCAGCCCGAGTAGACACTCCCTCTGCCCCCGGAAAATAGGGTGTGACCCCAGGGCAGCAGGGAGGAAGTGCCAGAGTGGCGATAGCTGCTCACATGCTCTGAATGCCCCGGTAGAGCGCCACAGGGAAGAGTGTGTGCCTAGGATAAGGAAGGATAAGGAGGGGCCCCGGGTGGGAGCTGAGCACAGGCATCTCTGTACTACTCAGTTCCCTCCCCTTGCATGTGAGGAAGTCTGGGGTTGATTAAAGGTGCTTGTTCCCTCTCCTCTTTGTGAGGATGACACACTGGGTAGTGGGGGTCTGGCTTAATTTAGAGATGGGTTGAGTCTTTCCATTTTCTCTGTCACTCTGTCCTCCCACTTGGTGCTTCTATTTTTTTCTCTCTCTGTCTATCTCTTTCTACTTTCTCTGACTTGAGTTTCTTCCCTTCTCTCTCTTCCCCAGTTTTCCCCATTTGTCCTTCAGCTCTACTGCAATGGATTCCCCACCATTGCTCAAGTCTCCAGATTCCTGTCTCCTCCCTGCTCACACCCATCCTCCTTGCCCCCACCAGCAACCTCAGGCTCCCCTCAACCCCACAGTACTACGGGCTCAGGGCCATCCCTCCACTGGCTGCTACAAGACAGGAGACCAAACCTTTTTGTAGGTGACATCACAAAATAATGCTCCTCCTTTCCTTCAGTTCCCCACCCCTCCCCATACACAGCTTGGTGGCTGCTGGACGCCAGCTGGACGGTGAAGTCGAACTCGCAGTCCCACCCCCCTTGCCAAGGTTGTCGAGGAATACTCCAGGTGCTAGATGGCCAGCGAAACAGCAGGTCACACTTCCCAGCAGATGTCACCAAAATCACCTGGTCTTGTGGGCAGGTGGGCTGTGGGGTTTTCCAGAGAGACAGATTAAGGATACCTCTACTTTTCACGTCCTCAGGAACAAGGGCTCCTCCCCAACCCAACCCGTGTTTCCTCTCCCATCCCCAGTCCCCTCCAGGATTTAAGCCTCTGTTCCCTAGCTGTTCCTCACCCGAGACGGGCCAAATGGATGTTCTCATAGACCTGGATTTCGGGTTTGAACTGAGGAATCGAGGCAGCTGGGGAGAAGGAGCCATCAAGGATACAGAAGAGAAGTCAGCAGACAACTTAGAGCTGTGTTCCTTGCCCCCTCCCCTAGAGGAGGTGGGGTACAGAGGCAGGGTGCGAGCCTAGCCCTTTGCCTCCCACCCACGTGCCCTCTTCTTCCCTCCGGGAGGGAGGGACTCACCTCTGACTGGAGCCCCACGGACCCTCTGCCTCCAGAGCACAATGCTGAGGGCCAGGATGATGACTCCCTGGCCCATTGTGAGCAGCAGCATCAGAATCCAAGACATGTCCCAGCCCACGGAAGGGGCACAGAAGGCAGGAGAAGCATCCATGGAGGCTGTAGTAAGAGCCAGACCAGAGGGATGGGAAGGAGGCAGTGAGGGGGCCTGTCCCTGTGCCCCAAAGAGAGTCCTCCCCTCCACAGTCTGGTGGGCTCTTCCAACAGAAGACTTGGTAAGTTTCCCTGCCCTCAATATCTTCCACCCTAATCTGCCCCTTTCCAGGCCTCTCACCCTGACCCATAAATAGAGAATGGCAGCCAGTCACAGTGGCTCACACCTGTAATCCCAGCACTTTAGGAGGCCAAGGCAAGCAGACCACTTGAGGTCAGGAGTTCAAGACCAGCCTGGTCAACATGATGAAACCCCATCTCTACTAAAAATATAAAAATTGGGGCCATGCGCAGTGGCTCACACCTGTAATCCCAGCACTTTGGGAGGCCGAGATGGGTGGATCACCTGAGGCCAGGAGGTCGAGACTAGCCTGACCAACATGGTGAAACTCCATCTCTACTAAAAACACAAAAAAGAGACCAGGCGCTGTGGCTCACGCCTGTAATCCCAGCACTTTGGGAGGCCGAGGCGGGCGGATCACATGTCAGATCAAGACCATCCTGGCCAACATGGTGAAACCCTGGCTCTACTAAGAATACAAAAATTAGCTGGACATAGTGGCATATGCCTGTAATCTTAGCTACTTGGGAGGCTGAGGCAGAAGAATCACTTGAACCAGGGAGGCAGAGGTTGCAGTGAGCTGGAATCGTGCCATTCCACTCCAGCCTGGCGACAGAGAGAGACTCTGTCTCAAAATACACACACACACGCACACACACACACACACACAAAAGTTAGCTGGGCATGGTGGCAGGCACCTGTAGTCCCAGCTACTTAGGAGGCTGAGATGGGAGAACAGCTTGAACTCAGCAGGAAGAGGTTGCAGTGAGCCAAGATCGTGCCACTACATTCCAGCCTGGGCAACAGAACAAGACTCCATCTCAAAAAAAAAAAAAAAAAAAAGGCCAGGCATGGTGGCTCACATCTGTAATTCTAACACTTTGGGAGACCAAGGCAGGCAGATCCTGAGGTCAAGAGATCAAGACCATCCTGGCCAACATGGTGAAACCCCGTCTCTACTAAAAATACAATTTTTTTTTAAAGATAGAGTTTTGCTCTTGTTGCCCAGGCTGGAGTGCAATGGCGTGATCTTGGCTCACTGCACCCTCCACCTCCCAGGTTCAAGTGATTCTCCTGCCTCAGCCTTCCGAGTATCTGGGGTTACAGGCATGTGCCACCATACCCGGCTAATTTTGTATTCTTAGTAGAGACGGAGTTTCTCCATTTTGGTCAGGCTGGTCTCGAACTCCCGACCTCAAGTGATCCGCCTGCTTCGGCCTCCCAAAGTGCTGGGATTACAGGCTTGAGCCACCACGCCTGGCCTAATAATAATAATAATAAACAAAACAAAATAAAAAATAGAGAATGGCAATGCCCCCTGCTCACACATGGGCAGCCAACTACAGAGCAGACCACCAGCCATAACCACACTTTCCCCTCACACCCTTTATAGTAATTCACCCTTTCAAGAAAAAATAGCCAGGTGCGGTGGTTCATGCCTGTAACCCCAGCACTTTGGGAGACCAAGATAGGAAGATCATTTGAGGCTAGTAGTTTGAGACCAGACTGGGCAACATAGTGAGACCCTGTCTCTACAAAAAAGTTTAAAAATTAGGGGAGGCACGGTGGCTCATACCTATAATCTCAGTACTTTGGGAGACCGAGGTGGGCAGATCACTAGAGATCAGGAAGTTGAGACCAGCCTGGCCAAAATGGTGAAATCTCGTCTCTACCAAAAGTCCAAAAAATTATCCGCGCATGGTGGCGGGCGCCTGTAATTCCAGCTACTTGGGAGGCTGAGGTGAAAGAACATCCCTTTCCGTCTTCTCCCTCGGTTTACCTGCCAGGCTAAAGCTGACCCCTTTGTTGTGAGTCATGAGGCAGCGGATGATTCTTGGTCTTCGGCTCCTGGGCTCAGAAAGCCCCTCCCCAGGACACACCAAGAGCAGGGCAGCCTCACTGCCCCAGAAGGACTGAACACGGCCCTTCACGGGACCCTTCCCTTCCTGCCAGGTCACAGAGTCCATGCGTCTGCTGGGGACCACAGAGCACAGGAGGACATTGCAGGGGGATCCATCTGCAGCCCTTGCAGATAACTGGGATCCTGTGGGGGAGAGAGGGACCCCTCAGTTCTTCACCTAGACTTCCTGGCCCACAGTAGCCCCTGGTCTGCATGCCCCCACTCACCTTTGAGCACCAAGACGTCGTACACCCTCCAGTTCTGGTAGTTGTGGTGCCGACCTAGCACAGCGCACCAGTACCGCCCGGCATCTTCCTCCTTGGATCCCTCCAGCCACAAAGAATAATTCCCCAGCAGTCGGAGCCTGGATTCCCTTCCTGGTTTTCCAGGGTCTGGGGCTGGCCTGCCCACTCGGACTTGGGCTACCAGGGTGGTGAAGGAGCTTGCTGCAGGGCTGCGGAACCATGACAGGTGTTCGTCCCCATGTAGAGTGGGTGGTGAGGGACATGGCAGTTCCATTGCCTCCCCCAAGGCCACATAGATGGCCTGGATGTTGTCTGTGGGAAGAAGGTTGTATGAGGCCAGAGACCTCCATCAGATCAACAACCCCCCATTTGATCTTCAACCCTGACTTCCTCCCCTTCTGGGGTCCCCCAGCACAGGCCTGGCTGGTGACCACCTTTCTCAAGTGACAGCTACAAAAATAAGACAGGTGGAGAGAATAGGGTAAGGGCTTTCCTTGTCTCTCCCCAAGACAGTGAGGGGGTCTGAGGGCAAGAGGGAAAGGCCTGAAAGAGTTGGCAAATGCCCACATCTCTTCTACTCATTTCAACTTTTCTGAAAGCATTTACTCATTCTTCTTATTTTATAAAGGAAACTGCATAACCTGGATCTTCGTTGCCCCTGGGTCTTCCCTAGTGTCAGAGGCAGGAGGAGGTCAGTTGGGGTAATTCTATCTTCTTGAGTCAGATGCCTTTGCCAGGCTCCTAGGAGAAAGAGCAGCAGTCCCTCCCCAACCTTGGAAACAGCTAAGGAATCACCTACCTCTTGCCCCTTACCTGCAGCCTGGGGAGTTCCACATAGGAACAGGAGGAGGAATAAGACTGCCATGGGGAAAGCCTGCCAAGTTCTCTTGCTCCAAGACCTGGTGTTCCCAAGGAGGAAGCAGAGTCCAGATAAAGGCCCACACTCGCTGGTCTGGGGTGACAAGGGCCTCTGGAGGGGATGGGAATGCTGGGGCGATAAAGTCCAGCAGCATATCTACTAGGGAAAAAGTGACCACCACTTTTCTGTCCTGGAGAGAAACGGACCCAGCCCAGGCCACTCTGAAGATGACCTTTTTGCTCTTCTGATTCCACATCAGCTAAGGGACTCAAGTAAAGACTTCCATGCAAAAAACCATGCAGGGAAGTGGTCCTGCCTGTCTAGCTCCTGTCAGTCTGGAAGTACATTCTGAGGTCTCTTTCGCTCCTAAGAAATGTCAGCCATGAGCTGGGTAGATCACTTGAGGTCAGGAGTTCAAGACCAGCCTGGCCAACATGGTGAAACCCTGTCTCTACAAAAAATATAAAAATTAGTCGGGCGTGATGACATATGCCTGTAATTCCAGCTACTCAGGAGGCTGAGAGGCACTAGAATCGCTTGAACCCAGGAGGCAGACGTTGCAGTGAGCCGAGATCGTGCTACTGTACTCCAGCCTGGGAGACAGAGCGAGACAGTGAGAATTCATCTCAAAAAAAAAAAAAAGAAAAAGAAAAAGAAAAAATAAAGAAATGTCAGCTATGAGTGAAGAAACTGAGTTTTCACATTGGTCCTCCACAGAACCCAGCACAAGACTGTGTATCCAGTCAGTGTCCCGTAAATGATTTGGAATGACTTTCCCTGTGGTTGTCTGGCATACCCCAGACCTCTCCTGAACCCCTGATGAGTGTATTAAGTTATTACTCAAGGAGAAGGCTAACGGGCTGATTCATCCTTCTGAATGGCAAAAACTCCTAAGGCAGATCTTCATGCAGTTATTATAGTTTTAATGTGTAATTTATTTATTTAAAAAAATTATTTGGATGAAATATTCCATACATACCAAAAACTATATGAAGTATAACTATATTATGGATAAATGGTGGTATATTAACACAGTAGAACACTGGACAGCAATGAGAATGAACAAACCCAGTGATTGCAACAAGGTTGAATCTCATAACATAATGAGAGTAAAAGAAGCCTGGCCAGGCATGGTGGCTCATGTCTATAATCCTAATACTTTTGGATGCCAAGGTGGGAGGGTCGATTGAAGCCAGAAGTTTGAGGTTGGGCAACAGAGCAAGACCCCAACTCTAAAAATAAAGGCCAGACACGGTGGCTCACGCCTGTAATCCCAGCACTTTGGGAGGCTGAGGCAGGCCGATCACGAGGTCAAGAGATCGAGACTATCCAGGCCAACATGGTGAAACCCCATCTCTACTAAAAATACAAAAATTAGCTGGGCGTGGTGGCGGATGCCTGTAGTCCCAGCTACTCAGGAGGCTGAGGCAGGAGAATCGATTGAACTCAGGAGGCAGAGGTTGCAGTGAGCAGAGATTATGCCACTATACTCCAGCCTGGCGACAGAGCAAGACTCCGTCTCCAAAAAAAAAAAAAAAAAACCCAGAAATAAATAGAATATTCCAGGCCGGACTCAGTGGCTCATGTCTGTAATCCTAGCACTTTAGGAGGCTGAGGCAGGCGGATCACCTGAGGTCAGGAGTTCAAGACTAGCCTGACCAACATGGAGAAACCCCCTCTCTACTAAAAATAAAAAAATTAGCAGGGCATGGTGGCACATGCCTGTGATCCCAGCTACTTGGGAGGCTGAGGCAGGAGAATCGCTTGAACCCCAGAGGCAGAGATTGTCGTAAGCCAAGATCGGGCCATTGCACTCCAGCCTGGGCAATAAGAGCGGAACTTGGTCTCAAAAAAAAAAAAGAAAAGAAAAGAAATAGAATATTCCAGGCCAGGCACAGTGGCTCACGCCTGTAATCCCAGCACTCTGTGAGGCTAATGCAGAAGGATCGCTTGAGCCCAGGAGTTTGAGATCAGCCTGGGCAACATGGTGAGACCTCATAAAATTAGCCGAGTGTGGTGGCGTGGGCCTGTATTCCCAGCTACTCAGGAGGTTGAGGTGGAAGGATGTTTGAGCCCAGCAGGTGGAGGATCAGGGCAGTGAGCCATGATTGTGCCACTGTGCTCCAATCTGGGCGAAAGAGCTAGACCCTGTCTCAGAAAAAAAAAAAAAAAAAAAAAGAGAAAAAAAGAATATTCTGTTTCAGTCAGAGATCCTCTATGCTGTGTAACCACGATTCTGGCCAGGCGTAGTGGCTCAAGCCTGTAATCCCAGCACTTTGGGAGGCTGAGATGGGTGGATCAGGAGGTCAGGAGATCGAGACCATCCTGGCTAACACGGTGAAACCCCCCGTCTCTACTTAAAAATACAAAAAACTAGCCGGGCAAGGTGGCGGGCGCCTGTAGTCCCAGCTACTCGGGAGGCTGAGGCAGGAGAATGGCGTAAACCCGGGAGGTGGAGCTTGCATTGACCTGAGATCCGGCCACTGCACTCCAGCCTGGGTGACAGAGTGAGACTTTGTCTCAAAAAAAAAAAAAACAAACCACGATTCTGAATTTTCTTTCTTCTCCACTTGCTTAAATTTTATGTGTTTTTGAATCTAGTATTACTGGTATCATGTATACATTCTTCTGCGGCTTTCTATTTTCACTCAGCATCACAGTTTTAAGATTCATTTCATGCATAAGAGTAATGATTCACTTATTTTCTTTTTACAAATATTCCCCATATCTCACCGTGCTGAATTTTCATATCCAGGACCATGGTGTAGCTTTCCATTTATTGAAAAGCTTTTTGTTTACCTCTTTCTTTTTTTATTTTTCACTTATTATTGTTATTATTTTGAGGCCAGGCTCTGTCATCCAGCTTGGAGTGCATGGAGCAGTCTTGAACTCCTGGGCTCAAGCGACCCTCCCACCTTGGCCTCCCAAGTAGCTGGGACTACAGGTGCGCACTAACACACCCTGCTAGGTCTTTTTTTTTTTTCCCTAGGTATTTTGTGTAGAGATGGGGTCTCACTATGTTGCCTGGGCTGGCCTGGAACTCCTGGTCGCAAGCAATCCTCTCTCAGTCACCCAAAATGTTGGAATTACAGGCGTGAGCCATGGTCTGGAACTCCTGGACGCAAGCAATCATCCCTTGGCCACCCAAAGTGTTGGAATTACAGGCGTGAGCCACTGCGTTGGGCCAGTTTACCTTTATTTATTTATTTAGAGACACAGTCGTGCTCTGTCACCAAGGCTGGAGTGCAGGGGCAAGATCTTGGCTCACTGCAACCTCTGCCTCCCAGGTTGAAGCGATTCTGGTGCCTCGGCCTCCCGAGTAGCTGGGATTACAGGCGCGCGCCACCCACGCCAGGCTAATTTTTGTATTTTTAGTAGAGACGGGGTTTCACCATGTTGGCCAGGCTGGTCTTCAACTCCTGGCCTCAAGTGATCCGCCGGCCTCGGCCTCCCAAAGTGCTGGGATTACAGGCGTGAGCCACCGCGCTGGGCCGGGCCAGTTTGCCTTTTCAGTAACTTTTTATAGTCTTCTTCATAACATCTTGCATTTCTTGTACTAGATATATTCCTAGACACCTTATCTTTTCTGTTACTCTTATCAAGTACTCCTAATCTCACCCCTCGTTTCCGCTGTCGCTCTAGAGTCTGCCAATAATGAGACAGAAAAAAATTACTGAGCTGTGCCTGGTAATTTTCTGATTCTCCGCGTTCCTAAATCTTCCACTAGTTTCGGACCACTGCTGCACCCGTAGCCCCAACTGCGCGAAACTCTTCTCAGGAAGCACTGAAAATGTCGCAACTCGCCCGGAGGCGGAGCCGGTACGGGCTGACGTCAAGGGCACACAACACCTCAGAGGCAGGGAGGGCGGGGCCGGCAGGGGGACCTGCTGCTGGAAGAGCAGCGGCCCGAGCCAGGGCCATGGCGAAGCTGCTGAGCTGCGTCCTAGGCCCCCGGCTGTACAAAATCTACCGGGAGAGGGACTCTGAAAGGGCCCCGGCCAGCGTCCCTGAAACGCCAACGGCAGTCACTGCCCCCCATTCCAGCTCCTGGGTGAGTCGAGTTCCTCCCCGCCGAGGAACGTGGTACAGTCCAAACCCTTTACGGCCTTTGCTCCTCAGAAGTGCCCATAATGGGAAATAAGGGGAGCCTGCTTGTCAAACCAGTCATCCGCAAAGTCTGCGCTCTGTGTGCTTCCTGAGTTAAAGTCACGCCTACGGACTGGCCGCCTCCTTTCTTTTTCGCTCTTTACCGCTTTCTCATTCCGACTGCCACTCCTTGCTCTTTCCTCTCCGCGTCCCCCCACCCTGTCTGTCGTGGTTCGTGCCAGTCCTAGTTGAGTCTTAAGTCCCGGGAAAGAGACCCTGCGCGGACTGGGTAGCCGTTGAATTTTGCCGTCGAACTCCCAATTTCCTCTTTCGCTATGCCTCTTCGTGCCTCCCCCGGCTCCGTTTTTATCTTCCCTTTACCCTCGCCTTGAATTTCAGAATGACTTTTACAGATCCTGTATCCGTAGGTCCTCCCCTCAACCCCCGCCCAACCTAGCCTGGAGACCCGAGTCATTGTATTCTGGAGAGCGGGCGGGTGGTGGTAGGCTGTTCTAAATATTATCTTCCTTTTTATCAGTTGTCTCACATTGTGTTACTGTCTCCTACAAACTGCCCGCTCCTACCCACATTCTCTTCTTAGTCAACTACTCTTATTTCTGATGCTTTTCTTTCCCTCTTAGATTGTCTTGGTGTCTTTCTTCTCAAACTAACCCTTCTCCCCATATGCACGCGCCTGCAATCCATTTTAAACTAGACTGTGGAAAAGGAGCAAAAATCGTCCAATGCTGCTTTCACTTTTGCTTCCAAGTCCAGCTCCCTGTGTTTGTTCCCATGGTCAGGGGTGGGAAATTAGGTTCAGGGTGAGGGTGAGGAAGAGGGTTTTCTGTGGGGGCCGGGGATGTCTCAAGAGAGATAGTCAACGAGAGTAGAACCAGAGGACACACAGCAGAGCTTCTGAAAGGGAAGGAAAAGGACCTGCCAGTGGCAGGGTCCTTAAGGAGGCCATCTGTTTTGGCAGGATACGTACTATCAGCCCCGTGCCCTGGAGAAACATGCTGACAGCATCCTGGCACTGGTATGTCTACCCTGGCATCTGGGACTCTCTGCATCTTTCAGACCCACCTGTCCTCTTGAACTTAGCCTTCCCTAGCTTGGGAGCAACAGTACCCCTGGGGTTGGGGGATGCTCTGGGCTCTGCAGCAGACCTCTCCAACACAGACACACAGACACACTCAAAGTGTGCATACTTGGCACTCCCCTTTGGTATGTAGCACTGCTTTCTCTGGGGGCAGCCTGAGCCATAAGGAAAACATGTTTACTCTTGGGACCATCTGCAGGTGCTAAGTCCTGCAGTTCCCCAGTGACCTGTCCTCCCTGGCAACTAACCTCTTTGGCTGCAGGGACAGCTGTTCGTTCTGGCACAGTTCCTGTGG